AGGTAAAAAAAAAAAAAAAAAGAGAGAAGTTTCTCTATTCCTGTTTGTTTTTGGACTTGGTGGTTGTTGAATGTTCACAGCAAACATATTTTTGCATGATGTATGAAGCAGAAGCTCTTTATAGACAAGGAGTGAAGTTCTGGCTGACGATGCACTTGTACAAAAAGCCGCTGTCCTGGCCCTGAGGAATTGAAACACCCCAATTGTGCTACTGCAGGAAAAGAGAGGCCCAAGTCACTCCTGCACAGGGCACTCATCAGATGACAGCGTTGTATGGCTTGGATGGCGTTTGCCAAAACACAGGCATGGTTTGCATTAAATCCCTTACAGGGGACTGATGAAGCCTGATGCTTTTCTAAACAGGTCAATGGTAAAACCTCCCACTGATTTCAGTGGTGCACAATCATTGCCATGGTGCACGGGGTACTGCTCCCCAGCAAACTCCTCCACGTCAAAGAGGAGTAAGAAAGGCACCCTGGACCACTTAGCTGACATAAGGTGCTGTTATATTAGGACACAACTATACACTCTTGCAGGTGATCCATCCTGATGCCAGCCAGAATTTGGCCCTGTATAAGCCGTGATTACAGTACCTTTTTTTTAGCAAGAGTTTGGCTTGATATCTACAGCATATTGGCAGTAATGCTGTGATATTTTCCCAGTATACAACATTATTCTATTTCTTCAAATGAATTTGTAATAAGATTTCATATAAACACTGACAATACAAACCACCTAGATTGATACAAAGAGATCAGTAGCCAACACTGAGCAAGTTGGGTGGCATTATTTGTGGTCTGAGGATGTAGGCCAGGCTCCTGACAAGGACCTCAAGATTGTCATCCAAGAATCTCACTTGGGTTTTATAGTGAGAAGACTGATGGGATCTGGGGAGTGTGAATGAGTCCTCTTGTATTACAGTAATACCTGTGAACCTCACTATTATGTCTTAACACCTTGATAAATAAGCTTGAAACCAAACTTTTTGAAAAGAAAATGAGGATGAGTTGGGCATTCCTAGACTCCTACCATATTGACATCTTCAGTGTTTAAAATTAGTTTTATGTCCTGACAAGATAAAAAAGAATCCGAGTGTTTTCTGATCCAGTACATAGAAATTGTCTCGTTTTGTGTCTAGCATCAGATGGACCCTACCGGGAATTTCTATAACTACAGAACTGCGCTGCGAGGGGCTGCCCATCGATCCCTCACTGCACACAGCAACAGGGAGAAGGTAGGTCCACCATGTTGCACGGATTCATGTATTTCTATGTAGATGATGAAAATTTAAAGCTGAAAGTTAAAATGCTGGCATAGCCAAGATGTGTGCCACTTTGGGTGAACTGCCTTGGCCCATTGCAGCACCAGCACGAAGTCAGTGCGCCACTAGAATTGAAAAATGGTGCTTAAGTGAATCTGAACCGCTCCATGCATGTTTTCCTGAACTCCTGCCCAGAAAGGAGGGACTTTATTGTTGCATGCATCTCTGTACCCCTTGAAAATCCACATGGGGCTCCTCTGCATGGGGAAACAGACTGGCTTTGAAGCAGAGTAATTATTCTGGAATAAAGTCACTTTTATTCTGGAACAAAATTGCCATGCAGAGTTTTCCATGCTGGCACTGGCATGTCGGTAGTGGAATGGCTATCCTGCCAATCATCTTCTTCGTGAAGGTGATGCCTGAAGGTGTAATTACTGACCTGAACTACGGAGTTGCAGTGTTGCTGCAGCTGTAACAGCCCAGGAAATGTCTGAGGACACAGGGCCACCTTGAGGGTTTGGCCTCCTAGGAGTCATCGCTTTTGCAGGGAGAAGGTGCCACTGAAATCAGTGTTGTGGTGTCCCTGTGGTGATGAGATTTGGCAGCACTGGGCAATGGCAGTGCCAAGGAGGCACGGTTCCCTGGGCACAGCAAAGCCAGGATAAAGTAGATGTTGCATCCCCAAACACAATGAGGTGCTGAATTTTAGTTCACTAGGAAAACTAAGACAGAATCTAATCTTGAACGAGAGTAAATCTGATGCGAGACCCCTGGCCTTAGTAGTCAAGTGGGTTTTGTAAGGAGCTGGGGTGAGAACCTGGTCCCCAGGCTGCCTCTGTTGCAAGAGGAATACGTGGAGTGGTTTTGCAAATCCCCTGCTGTGAAAGGAGGTGATGAATTGCATGTTAGTGAGGAGCAAAGAAATTTCTTTAACAAACTCTCATATCGTTCAGCTAGAGCCTGTCATTGTGCAGTGCTTCTGCAATCTGTTGTTTTTGTGACGACTGCTCAGACTCGAGCCTGCTGCTGTTTTACCTGATCTTGTTTCCTGTGGAAGTTGCCCATCTCTGTCGCATCTGTAACTATAACTGCTTCACTGTTTAAAACCAAGGACAAGGAGGTTGGTATATTGACAGGCATCTATTTTACACAAGGAGAAGCCTATGTTATTCTGTTTCTTCTGTATTAGCTGAACAAGTATTTATGCATAAGGTTTAGTGGCTAATCATTGCTGGGAATAGATGCATAGCACGTCCTTCAAACTCCAGGATTTGAAGATTTTGTACCTTATTATAACCCAGCTCCCTGATCATTTGTTTAATTTTCTTGCCACTGAGTTAGGACCATCCCTGAATTCAGGAGACTGGCTGCAACAGGTGAAAGTCCATAGAAGTGACTGCTGCCCCTGGAAAATGTGACCTTCTTTTTCCAGTCTCATTTAGCAGACTTACCTCTTGGAGCCACAGAAAAATACTGATTTCCAAATTGAACCATATTTATATTTTTTTCCTTCCAAATTTACCAAACAAAAGAGGGCAGGGGGTGATGTTTCCTACATCTATTCTCTAATTTAAATCTAGAAATTCTGCTTTGCCCTGGCACCAAGAGTAGGACATGCCAGAGCACTCAACCGAAATAGCTTCAATAACCACATTGTTCTTCTCCGAGCTCCACTGAGTAAAGGACGGGTCACTTAAACGCCAGTTGAGCTGGACTCTGCTCACAGCCATGTTCAGCACCTGGTTCTTCGCCACACCTGAACAAGCGGCTGGTCCAAACATGGTGCAGATTAGAGCTGCAAGACTTGGACTGTGTGGGACCATGCATGAGTGGGGGGTAAATTGGGTAATTAATCCCATGTGTCCCTTCCATCCTCCTGTGCTGGGACTGGGGGCTTCCTACACAGGAAATCATAAAGCAGAACCCCATTTTTCCATCCACCGTCTGCTGCCGCAGGAAGACCCCAGAAAGTGTAGACAGATGCATGTAGTCTTTGGTGCTGGCAACTACAGCCTGCCTGACAGCTGGCAACTCTTGGGCATGAGGGTATGCCCTGTCAGCAGAGGGGCCAGGTGGGGGTGTGCTCCAGCACCTCTTTGTGGCAGTGGCAGGAGGCAGGTAGTACAGAGAAGGAGCCAAGAAGCAGGGCCTGGCCCTGGGGAGCGAGGGGTCAGGTGGGACGCAGCGGGTGGCTGAAACAAGCCAGGTGGGGTTGTAGCTGGGGAGCGAGGCCACAATACAAGAAAGAGGGTTTGGCACACAAGCAGTCATCTGAGGTCATCACCTGCTTAAGCGGTGTCAGTTTTGCAGTCATCAGGGCAGAGGGCAGGCTGCTGGGAAGGATTTAAGAGGAACGGTACTGCATTTACAGGTTCTGGCAGGCAGGTTTGCCGACACGTGGAGAGCAGCTTGGGAACAGGGGCTGAGGTGCCTGCGGGAGAAGTGGACAAGACGGAGGCATCCACTGATGTGGGAAATGGGAGGGATCAAGCCCTGGAAGACGAGAGGTTTGATAGATAGGGAAAGCTGAAATGAGGGAGGGTTTTAAAGGTAAAGATGAGGAGCTTGTGTTGGTATGATGGAGGAAGAGGAGCTAATGTAGGGGAAGGGAGTGCTGGCTGCTCTGCCTGCATCAGACGGGGTTGGCCGAGATGATCTTGTCATATAGAAATATAACCTTGTCATCAACAGTCCTCGCCTCTCAGCTTTAGTATCGTTGCATTATACTTCAATCTTATTTGCCTTCTTCACATGAATGGTCTCACATCTCTGTGATTATTCACATGAGTAAGTGGAGCAGGACTTAGGCCCTTTTGCTCTGGCTGTACAGTAGTGACTATTATGCAGTGATGTATTCTGAAAAGTGAATGCTGGGAACAGTTTAACAAATAACAAAATCCTCAGAAATCCAAGAGCAACTTGCTTGATCTGTTGAGTTTGGGGTTTCATGTTTCACTTTGTTCTTTCCTGAACGTCAAAAGCAGAACGAAAGGTTAAACAAAATCACAGCATAGATTTTCAGAGCTGAGCATCAGGGATTCATAACTTGAAAACTTTCATTGAAAGCTTGCTTTGCCTTGCAGATCCTCAGTGTGTTGGAACGAGCACGTGGGCTGCTCGTGTTCGAGTGCACGCTGAATGTGCCGTGCCTTCTGAAAGCACGTTGGCACAGAGCAGAAATCTGGCATTAAGAGCTTGACCTGGGACAGCAAGAGCTGTTGATGTGCATTCTTAGTTTTTCCCTACCTTCACCTTTAAACATTTTTGGCAGCATCCCACACTTAGCCCCCTGCCTCGTGGAGAGAGAGGGCATAGCAGAAAGAGCTGAACAAAGGGGCCAGGAGATGATATCCTGCCAGTGCATATTGCACTGCCTGAAGAGGACTGCTCGGGGGTGTTCGCCAGACTCCCCTACCATCTCTCAAGTTGACGGTGGATGGGAACGCTGCCAAGCTATTGTAGGAGTGCGGCAGCTATTCCCTCGCAATGCATTAGCACCAGCCTGCCGGACAAAGCAGGATTTGTTCCATGCTCTCTGTTTTCCCAGGTCACTGTGCTCTTGGCGTGGTGGGCACCAAAGGTACAAAGAATCGCTGTGGAAGGGAGAGCTATTGACTGGGACCAGCCGCTTGTTTTTCGCCTCCTGTCATTTTTCTTCACTGTCAATGGGCTCCAGTGAGACGTGGCTCTGTGGGATGTCACCCGGCTGTAGAGAAAATCTTTGGCTGTCTAGCATAGCCCCATAACTGTGGCATCTGAGCTGCTCAAGCTGGTAGTGGATTTCCCCTCGAGAGTCGGGACTGTACAGCTGTGGAGCTGAGGCACAGCACGCCCCGTCTAAAAGGAGATGTGTGGCAGGGCTGGGAGGGTCCCTGTTCTCTCCAGCTTTGGTGGGTGCTATTCGGTTTATTCTGGGGCATTATACTAGGAGGTTTTTTTGTTCTAGTTCCTGCAGCTTATTGCAGGAGCTAAGGGTTCCTCCATCTATGAGCCTCCTGCTCTTTGCTCATTCGCATGCCTTCTTGCCCTTAATCATTTGCCAATACACTCCATGCCAAACCTGCGTACGTGTTGCACGGCTTCCAGCTAAGGGAGCAGCATGTCTCTGCAGCACCCTGGAAAGCAGTGGAAGGAGAAGTGGATTATGCAGTGTAGCCAGGCTGTAGAGGACATCATGCCTTATGCTCAGAGGAGCTGATACTGAACCGGCTGCTTCCTGGGAAGTTCTTCCTCCTTATTGCCTTGGGGTTGGTGTCTCAGCTGCTGAGTTTGTTCCTTAATTTGCTTGCAGGGTGGTTTAACCGAAGTGAAGTGGGAGGTATACTTTGGGTGGGAGTAACTGGATCAATCAGCAGTGCTCTGAGGCACTCTCCTGCTCAAGTGTAGACCTTCCCTATGCCTGCAACCTGGCTGAGCCAGACTCCTCCATGGCAAGGGGCACCCTAGGACACAATAGCATCCCCCCACCTTGCTTCTAGGGAGGGCTAGCTGCCAGTGTTTTGCCTGGCTCTGCTGTGTGTGCCATGCAGGGAAGGCACACTGGCACTCTGCTGCCTTCGTTCCCTCTGCACCTGAGATGGTGAATTAAGCTTAGTGTCTGGTAGCTCTGGTTCAGCTGTCCTCTCTGCATGCAGGTGGTTTATTTGCAATAATTTTTATTTGCTCAAGAATGAGCGGGCTTTAACAATGTGTTTGGTAAGGCAGGCCTTAAAGCCACAATTTAGACTATGGCTAATTCCACAGTTCATAGGAATAAACCTACTCCAGCACAGGGAAACCAGTCTTGTGGTGATAAAGGGGTGGTATTCCATGCAAAGGGGGATTTCTGTTAGGAATGAACTCATCCCCTCTTCCGTGTCACCTCCAAAATTTGGTCATTCCACAGGGAAACACCGCTTGGTACAAATGACATTTGTCTGAGTGGCTTTGAAGTGTCAGGATGCATAGTGTGATGCTGTGTACGTCCTGCCATAGGGAAATATTGTCTGATTTCATTAACTTAGTTCTTTGTGCAAGAGGCAGCTGTTGGTTTCTGTGTGGGTGGATTGGATGGTTTGGGGGAGAATCAAACGAAAATGAAATGCGAATTCCTGGCCGTAGCCCAAATTTTTTGCTGGTGAACAGGCTGGATAAAAAGCCTGCCTTTAAAATCCACATGCATTTTATTTGCTTTTACTGAAGAAATTCTGAAAGTAAAACAGTGTGGGACACTCTCATGCTAGGAAATTGCTCAAAGACAAAAATTCCCAACAAATATCCCACACAAAGACAACCTGGATTCTCAGTCATTTCCTGGTGCTGACCTCAGTGACTCACTCGTTTCTAATTGCTGTCCCTTCATCACAGCAGGCCCTAAATCGCATCCTTTTCAGTAGACTCAGAAGCCAGGCCAAGGCTAATCCCCTTCAGGCAGGTTTCAAATCAGGGACAGATCCTGAAAGTGAGTTCACATTTGCCTGGAAGTCACTCCTGCTTGATAGGAGACACACTCAGTACCTTGCTGAATCAGACCCAGCAAGTTTGCACTGCCCAGCTTCGTACCTTCATCCCTCCTGCGACTTAGTATAGTATAGTACCTGCATCTTCTGGACTGTCAATCTGGCCTTTTCTGAGCATGACACAGGTGAAATAAATCCTCAATGATCATTCATTGAACCACTGTTGTGGTTCAATGGTAGAATCCATGTCTGCCACATGGGTTTGATTCCAGATCTGCGTACAACTGTAGCCATTAGAAGCACCAAACGCCAGGACTCAGTCTAATGGTCTAAAGTGGGGATGGTAGGTCTCGGCAGCCTCCACTCTTCCACTCCGCCTGGGTGTGTTTGCTTAAGGTCATGGTGACCTCACGCATACACCATGATGCAAAAGGATCGATGGTTGCCCACTAATGACCATTACAGAAGGAAGCTGAGGCCATGTCTAGACAGTAGACTTGCCAGGCTGCAGGTAGCCTGCTTCCCAAACCAAAAACCATGTTGTCACATCACTACTGCTGCAGCAAGCTAATTAGCAAGGAGGTGGGCTAATTAGCATTGCCACTCACCTGGACTGATTTGCTCTGGACCGAACGGCAGCAATGTGGTTGCACTGCTTCCAGTTTAGCAGCAACACACCCAGTACAGCACAGCTCTCCTGAAGATGCTGCTCTGGAGCCCAGTAATTTTACCATGTAGACATGGCTTAGAGGAATACATATGTTCAGCCACTTGTTAGCAGTTGAACTTCAGTTGGACCAGAAAGTGGTTTCCATTCTTAGGACAAGAGCAGCATTATGGTTTAGGGGGCTCCTGCCTCCATTGTCTCTTTTAGCATCTGTGATTTGCTCCAATTCCTTCTCATTGTATTGTGAAGGCCATAGACGGGAAAACTGCAGCTGACATTTTACCCCAGTTTCACTTCAGATACCATTTCAGCTGTTGTTCAGCAAGAGAATGAATAACTGTAGAACATGAACTACTTAACTACGTGATTGCTTTATTGTCATCAGTTCCCATTGCCTTACATGTCCTCAGGGCTCTTATATTTTGGTACACACTTAAGAAGTTACGATTCAGTTCGTTTACAAATAGGCCAGTAGAAACACTTAGATATTTTACCCATATGACTGTGCTCTCGTATCCATTCTCAGTGCGTGAGCCAAGTCCCATCCATGCAAAGTGCAGACGTGATGGCTACAAAGAGGTGCTCAAAAGACAAGCAGTACTTCAGTGCCCCAGACTCTCTGCATGGTCCTTCTCTAGCCTGGTGCCCCTGCACAGCAAATCTGATCACTGGTTGGTCTTCTCTGCTGCTCTCAGCAGTTGGGTTGGGCCTTTGGGTCATGAGAAGATAGACCCACTAAGATCCATCATCCTCCAGGCATGCTTCACAGAAGGACTTTTTTCCTAGTCTCAATTTCAGAATGTCAAACCCCAAAGTCACCCCTTATGTAACTACTGGATTCCTTTGCTTTACTATAAGGCTGGATTAGGCCTGTACTATGCAGAATAGACCTGTTCCTCAGGGTTTGAGGAGAGGCATTGTTTCTCTGACTGCGCCTTCCAGGTTGCCCTGGACAAGACCCAGTATTTGTTTTGAGTGCTCCAGAGCTCTGTGTGACTACTAACAGTATTTTTTTGTTCATTGAGCCTTTAGTTTCCATATGAAGCAGTGTGGCCTAAGCCTATGGGAATAAGGCACTTTTATTCCACAATGAGAATCCACATACACATTTTAGGGGTAGCTCTTCTTGAACAACTCCATGCACAAACAAGCCCTCAACAGGAAGTTTTTAAATGATTCCATGTTTGCTCGTGTCATCTACAACCATGTCTGGAGCAAGGATTTCCTGTCTTCATGGTAGGATGTCCTGGCTAACTCAGTATTGCTGTCACCTAAATCTGTCTGTACATAAAACATGTCTGTTGACAGAAGAAAGCTTTGAGGACAGATGAAGGGACTGGGGTGGTTTCAGCCCACCCTTTGCTTGCCCAGAGAAATGATCACTGAACTATTACAAGATAATAACCTGCAGTTAAAGGGCAGTTTTAATTATTGTTCCGAGTGGTGTGGCCATGCCCCAGATAACTCCCCCTTTGCTAAGTTGTCACTGTACTGCTTTGACACTGGGAAGTGAATTGTTTTGCCTCCCTCTCTCTCCTGACTGAGCTCTTCTTTCCTATATATAAAATAGGAACCGCAAAGATAATAGTTATATCATTCTCTTCACAGATTGTCATCCCTTTCTTCAGCCTGTTGATCAAAGACATTTACTTTTTGAATGAAGGATGTGCTAATCGCCTTCCGAACGGACATGTCAACTTTGAAGTAAGATCTGCAAAAGTCTTTCTCTCTTCTGTTCTGATAGCAGTATCTGAGACCTTGTGCCCTTTCTTTTCAGTGAACTCCAACAAAGCCTGGCTAGTTGGGTGATCTTATGTAACCCTACTGCAAGGTCAGGCCAATCCCAGAGTGCCTTTTTATAAATAAATCATTTATATTGAAATTATTCCAATATGTTGGAAATTTTTGAAAAATAGTAAATTTTATTCCAATATTGAAATTTTTGATCTTCTGCTCAAAGATCAAAAAACCCAAAGAGAGAGACATTCTAATTCTGAGGGGCAACGCTTTCTTGTTCATCCCGTTGGTTACCTGGTGTATGTGCTGGGTCAACACTAGGAATGGTTATATATACAAACAGCTTGAAGAAGAAGATGAACCTTTTCCAAGAGAAGGAGAAGAAATGTATTTACCATATATCCACAGATAAGTAAGGCAGTCTGAATATCTGATACTTGTTCACAAATATTTTGGCCTTTTTTTTCTTTTAAGCCTTTCTGAACTACAGGAGGCTCCTTTACAAGTTACCGGCCTGTAGTTTATATAAGAACCTGCAGCTTTTGTTTAAACCTGATCGTTTCAGTAACATGATGTGCATGCAACTACATTGATTTTTTTTTTAATTTTTGCAGAAGTTTTTGGAATTAGCCAAGCAAGTGGGAGAGTTTATGACGTGGAAGCAAGTGGAGTGTCCCTTTGAGCAAGACCATAACATCATCCACTACTTGCACACGGCTCCCATTTTTACTGAGGATGGTAAGAAATCCCTCCATCATCTCTGATCAACCAAAATGTGTACCTTTGAATGGGTCTGTTCATCACCACCAGCTGAAACATATGCCCTACCTATGCTGGGGGTATTTTCTCCATTTGTCCACTTCTGGTTCATCTCCCTGCCTCTCCACTTCTACTTATCTCCACCCCATGCAAAAACCCTTTTGTAAAGATGATCTTCTGGCTCGTTAAGTCATTGTGCAATCATTTTTTCTCCTTTCTGTTCCCCTGCCGTCAGGCACTCTGTAGTCAGTCACTACGATGGCCCTTTCCCTCAAATCAGGAAAAGAGACCAGGCAGCCATCTCATGGATTGCTGTGAATGTCAGTCATCCTTGTTCCAGTACAGAAGTAATCAGGGCATCTCTTCCCTACAAACTAGCAATGTCAATTCTCTAAAAGGGAGCTCTCAGGCTGTGGGAGTTCAGCTCATTCTGTAGAGATGTAGTCAGCTGGACTCCTGTTGTGACATTACTGCCCTCTCTCCTTCTCCCGTCCCCCTTGCAGTTTGAATCCCACATGTCAGACTGCGTCACTTCATATAGGTCTCCTTCAGTCACGTCCTGTTGCATCATGTCAGATATAACGAACTAAAGCTACATCCCTACAAGCTAATCTAGAGTTCTCTATTGGGGTTTTTGTTCTTTTGATACTATGGACCGTTTTCCACACCCATCCAAGCTAATCAGAGCAGGCAGTTGTTATTTCAGAGGCTACCCCAGAAATCAGGGCAGAGCAAGGAAAATCAGCAGCGACTGCTGAAAAGGAATAATTAAAGTAATTAAAACAATGTGTAGAAACAGGAGACAAGATGCAGGCTTTTGTCTTGTTCTCAGGGTGTTGAGTACTGAGGACCTGGGGTCAAGGATATTTCTGGAGCGGCGTTTCAGGCAGTAGGGTGAAGCAGGGTGATGTCCGCCTCCTTAGTTGCTTGCAGATCATCTGTCCCGTGCACTGGGTCACGTTCATGCTGGCGTCATTAGATGCCCTGAGTAGAAAGCAGGAGTGTGGCTGGCCTTCCCTGCTGCCAAAGGTAAGGTGCAGAGCAGAGGCTCACCATGACTGATTGAGAAAGAGATGAGTGAATTAGAGAGAGATACAGCAGTGGTCTGTAAAGTAACACCAATACACTCCACCTGTCACCACCCAGAGTCATAGTGAGTAAATGTATTGAATATTAAAATATTCTTGAATTATTTCACAGACTAAAGTGCAAAGGTGACTGGAGCTCCAGACTAAAGCATAACTAAGCAGTGTAATGAGAATATGTCCACAAATAGAAATCACGACCTAGTTATAAAGTCTGTGAAGCAGGTGAAACAGGAGTTCACACGGAGAGGAATCTCGAATGTGTTGCCTTCGTTTTGTACCATAAAATGCATCCTGTAGTGCAGACTCTTGCAGAAGAGGGCCTGTTCGTATGTTAAAATAAAAGCTTACTTAATACTTTTCACAGCCAATGCTATAACTATATTTGTTTCCTCTTCTGTTTCTTTAAGACTGGAAGTCCACCAGAGGACCCAGCAAGCCAGAGCATTTCTGCTGAAAATCCCAAGCCAAGTTTAACTCCTTAATGCTGCAGTCTGACAGGCTCCTGTTGAAATCTTGATTCTGGGCCAATGTATTGTTCCACTGACATTATCACAGCAGCAGATTTTCAAAGGGATAAATTGGTGCCAAGCTCCCGTGCCCTGGTGGCTTTCATTGAAAATAGGGCACCTGACTGCATTTGTTTGTGTGGGTTTTTTTTTTAAAAAACCACCTTTGGTCTCTGTGCAGTTGACAGTGATAACAAAGAAGATAACAGGTGAAACCAAAATGCATAGGATGCAGCTGTAGCGTAAGACAGCAAACAGATAAAGGGCTGCTGATGCTATTTGACTAATCGATCTTTATCTTTCCTAGGTTTGTATCTGGCTTCCTATGAAAGTGAAAGCCCAGAAAATCAAATTGAAAAGGAGAGGTGGAAATCTTTAAGGTAGAAGTTTATTTTTTGAAGCTTTAGTCACAGTACTGGCGCTGGATTGATGGCCAAAATTTAGCTTAATGGGGCTTGAAGTTTGAAGCCTTTTTTAATAATGCTGGCACCTAATGTGACCTGGTGACCGGGCTGGAGTTTTTTTCAGCCTAACCCTGTAGTCTGCAAAACTAGAATTGGACTGATACAAATATTATAAAACTATAATATAAAAATAAATTTAAAGTTGCAAACATTAAGCCTAGCCTCTTTTACACTGTTCTGGAAATAAAGTGCCATCAGAGCAATGTAAAAGGGGCTTTTACAGGCATTTTAAGGCCCCTCTAAAACTACACACCTTCTATAAGAGAACTTCAGAGTAAATGGAAATTGGGCCCTAGAAATCATTCTGAATCCATCCTAAAGAAAAGCAGTGATTTCACTTCTCTGTTTTTGTTTCATCTTCCTCACTATGGTGTTTCAAATTTGCAGGTCAACTATTTTAGGGAAGACTTGAAGACTACGAGATTATTGCAGCGGGTCAAGAAAACAAATCAGCAAACTATTTTGCACTACTGATTCCAAAGATGCCTGTTTGGGATTTAGATGATTTCCCCCCACCTCCTATTTGTTGGGGTTTTTTGTTGTTTTGTTTTTCCTTTGACTGCCTAAAGTGGGGTGAACTGGATTCGTCCCCCAAAATCAACAGGACTGACATACTGGACGCACAATTACGCTTTCCTGCCTCTTCCAAAGGCGGGGCGGACTCTCCGGGGCTGATGCCATGTCAGTATTGCTGTAACTTTGTCTCTCAAGGAAAACAAAGCAAAACGAGAGCAAAGAGAGCCGTGGTGCTGCAAAAAGAAAGGTCTCCCCTGGAAAACTAAAGGCACAGGCACATGTTTCAGAAGCAGGTGCTTCCGACAGCAGCTCTTCCTGAGGACTGCAGGCTTAAATTATTTCAAGCCCAGCAGCAATCTGGCTAATTGCTGAAATAAAAGAAAGAGGAACTTTATCGGTCATCAGCAGTCTCCAGCCTTGTTGAACAATGCACTGACTGCAACCAGCATAAGCTCGTGGTGGCTAAAAACTCTTGTAAACCACATAAGCAGGGAAAAGTCGCTCAAACCCTGTGGATTCTTATTTCACGAATTCAGCTTGAACCGTGAACATCTGGTTAGTTTGTCTTTCCCTGCTTTTCTTCCTTTGAATCTTGGCAGATTTTTCTGAGTCGTGAAATAAAGATGGCGAGGCACGTAGATCTCCTGACTACACGTAAAGCTGTGCTGAAGAAGCAAGCGGCTGCTTGGCTTACCTCTCTTTAAAGCGTGATGTGTACCCCTTCGTTCTGTGGATGTTGAGGGATGAGTCTTTCCAAGGCCATACCTCACTGTCAAATGACAGGAGATGGTGTGAGGGAATGTGTCACGTTGCAGTTGATCTAGCTTTGTGTAGTCGTTTTGTTCCAGTGCAACCCAACATTAAGGAAAGAGAGGAATCGCTCTAAATCTGGGGGCTCCACGGCGCACTGAAGAGGAGGCAAAGGGCTTTTGCTCTTTGCACAAATGCTCTGGGGTAAAGAATGAGCAACCTGCCGTTTGTCCATCAATCCATGCAAGTATTTTTGTGTTCTGTATATTGAACCATGCTCGCCAGCTTCCTTCCATGGCAACCGTGTGCTGTTAGAAGAGGGGACCATGCCGTGTTTGTGTTTGCACAGATTTCAGAGCAGCATTCAATATAAATATTAAATGATGAATTATTATACGTATACCAGACGCAAGACTGAAGTAGAGCAAACAGGAGGATCCTCCCAGTCTTTGCTCATGTGAGCAGAGCCACTGAAACCAGTGGAGCTGTTTGTGTGCTTAAAGAGTGCTCCAGGCCTCAGATGGGCTCTTTTCATAGGCCTGACAGAAATAAAAATGCTGTGTGATATGGAACTGGTGGTGTTATTGTAGGCTTGGTGTTGGCATTTTGGCTGTTCTAGTCTTTTCTGGCCATAGTCAAAAGATTCAGTTTTCTACTGAACTCAGTGGTAGCTTTCCCTTAGTAAAGAGTGAAGGATCCTTTGCACAGCATGTCTGAACAGTACAGTACTTAAATTAAAAAAAAAAAAAAAAAAAAAAAGCAGCTCCATAGAAACT